GTGTGTGTGTGTGTGTGTGTGTGTGTGTGTGTGTGTGTGTGTGTGTGTGTGGGGGCTATAAACCCTGAGGCACAGCCTAAGATTTTATCTTTAATGGCCTTTTTTATAGTGTTCATTACTTTTACTTTTATACTTTGGTTTTAAAACCAGTACTTTTATACTTTTACTTGAGTAAAAAGCTCAAGTTGATACTTCTACTTCCAAAAAAGTATTTTAAACCCTGGTTTCTATACTTCTACTTAAGTAATGAATGTGAATATTTTTGACACCTCTGCATATTATATTTTTTATAAATGCTATAGCAGGTCACAAGTTGACCAGAGTACAAAGTGTCTGGATGAGTTGCGGCAGAAGTGAAATGCAAAACCAGCAGTATACTGTATATGTATATGGAGGCTCATGCATTTTGGACCCGGGAGCCAATAAGCTTCCAGGAAGCGCTTAGGATCAAAGCGTACACGAACCCCAGAACCAATGTACTCAACCTGAGTGAAGTTGCCCCCCACCCACCACCCCCCCACCCCACTGGCTCCTCTCAACGTGGAGGAGCAGTGGCTCTACTCTGAGTCCCTCCTGGATGACTGAGCTTCTCACCCTATCTCTAAGGGAGAGCCCAGACACCCTGCGGAGGAAACTCATTTTGGCCACTTGTATCCGCAATCTCGTTCTTTCGGTCACTACCCAAAGCTCGTGACCATAGATGAGGGTAGGAACGTAGACTGAGCAGCGCCAATCCGCCTGTCGATATCCCGCTCCATTCTTCCCTCATTCATGAACAAGACCCCGAGATACTTGAACTCCTCCACTTGGGGCAGGACCTCCACCCCGACCCGGAGGCGGCACACTACCAGTTTCCGGCTCAAGACCATGGTCTCAGATTTGGAGGCACTGATCCTTATCCCGGCTGCTTCACACTCGGCTGTGAACTGCTCCAGTGAGAGCTGGAGATCACGATCTGATGAAGCCAATAGGACCACATCATCCGCAAAAAGCAGAGATGTGATCCTAAGGTCACCAAAAAGAATGCCCTCAACACCTCGGCTGCGCCTAGAAATTCTGTCCATAAAATTTATGAACAGAATCRGTGACAAAGGGCAACCTTGGTGGAGTCCAACTCACACTGGAAACAAGTCCAACTTACTACAGGCAATGTGCACCAAGCTCTGGCACTGGTCATACAGTGACCTAACAGCCCATATCAATGGGCCTGGTACCCCATACTCCCGGAGTACCCCAGTCCCCCAGAGGGACACGGTAGAACACCTTCTCCAAGTCCACAAAACACATGTAGATTGGTTGGGTGAACTCCCATGCACTCTCCAGGAACTGTAGTCATAAGACACTTTTCATCCACACATATGAAATGTTTTTTTTTACTGTCAGCCACAACATAATACAGTTTTTCATCAACAGTAACTTTCTAATTCTAATTAAACTCTTTTTTCTGTCATGGCAGTTTGAAAAAGCAAATATATTGTCTGGACTATTGCAGATGTCTCAAACATCAGTATTGTGACCATTCGGCTCAAATTCATGTAGTATTCCTGCATAATATGCACACTGACATACTGGATGAAATAAATCATAAAAGTGATTTCATGTATGTACACCAATCACCTCGTTCTGAACAAAACAAACTAGCTGTGCACCTCAAATACTGTAACAAACTGGGACTAATAACATTTGTATAGCTGTAAATCTGAATGTGTACTGCTGACATTCTCTTTGTAAACTGGAAACAACTCCTTCTGACGGAGATAAAAGACTTCCACTTTACAGAAAAATCTTTCATGGCTTGTGTTACTTTATGAGGCATTAAGTGCTTTATCAATAGAAGTGATGTGACACAGTGCGAGTGCTTTCAGCTAAACATGATAAACACATTTTGCTCTGACTGCAGCTGACATCATCATTTGAGCAATCTCTGCCCCAATTTTCGCTTTCTCTGAGGAGGAAGTGGGTTCTCACTCACCATGTAGAACTGAAGACGGTAGTGTTTCTTCACCAAACTCAGCACAAACATGCAGAAGCCTACAAAAAACAGGGCAGTGTATGAGACAACACACTGTAACATCTGTATGAAGGAAGAGGTGAATTAAATTAGAAACGAGGCCACCTTTGGTTAAACACAAATTAAATTTAGCCCGACCTATTTTGAGCTTGTGTGTGATGAGCTCAGGGTTGCTTTTTCTTACATGGCTGGTGTTAGGAAGAAAGTGATTTCACTGTGTAAGAATGGGTAAAACTGGACATTACTATCCTGAGCAGATGAAACTGGAGGAACACGGCACTGTACGATGACAATATCAGCTACAAGTCTCTCTGCTTGAACACAGGAGGATGTTGGGCCATTTATTTCCACCTCATAACCAGAAGACAAAAAGGTTGAACAGCCTAAGTGTCTCCTTCCTCCCCACATCCTGTATGGCACCAGTCAGAAGCTGAAGTAGTATTGTTTAAAACTGACATCCTGCAGCTCAGGAAGTGGGACATCACAGTTTACACAGAAATAACCAACTGTTATTTAGGTACACGTGGATAAAACGAGTGCCAAAGTTTGAGTCTGAATCCAAGTTTTTGTTTGACTAGCTGAGCAAAACAAGTGTTTATTTCCAAAGAGGTCAAAACGTAGAAATGATAGATTTCATATTGTACAGCTGAGGTATGTGGACGAGTTAAAATCAACAGGTTCATGCAGGTTTCCGTAAGTTAAATTTAAGACCTTTTAAGACCATTAGGAATGACATTATCCAGCMAAATCTCATTGAAAACACACTTTCCCAAGTTTAAACGGCATGCAGCAGACATGACTGAACTTATTTGTTTTTTGGGCAGGTAAATAAGCCGCTGTATATGTGGGGGGTTGTAGCTGCAAAGAGGTCAAAAACATGGAAGTAAACTGTGCCATTTTTTGCCTGCAGTTATCACAGGATTTGTAGTTTAACAACATATCATGACCAGTAGCAAACTTAGCACTTCATGAAGACAGATCACATCAACCTCTGATTACGGTGCTTTAACCTGTTTATTTATGTAGCCTAGCCAACGCTTCTGTGAATGATCGGAAGTGAAAAAAAATTAAGACTTGACAAAATTAAATTTAAGACYTTGGATGAAAACTTGTGCTTTTTAAATAATTTTTTAGGCCTAAAATTTTGATTTTCAAATTTTAGACTTTTTTAGACTTTTTAAGACCCTGCATGAACCCTGAATCAAACTTTATAAAAAGGTTTTACAAAACAAAGAAACAGGACTTTTATTCTGTAGAACAGAGTTCTCAAACTTGGGTCCCAGGACCCCCAGGGGTCTGTGAGAGGTATCTTGGGGGTCCTCAATTATTTCATTAAATTGTTAATTTGGTTTTTATTTTAAAAAATGCATGGAGAACAATGAACCAATAAAACAAACATAATAGACTAAATAAAAATATATATTCCCATGGAATTTAGGGGTTGAAATGACAATAAATTATCTTTTAAAACAGCATGGGGTTTATGAGCGGGGTCCCTGGAATTTTTTTCGCCATTGTAAGGTGTCCCCGAGACCGAAAAATTTTGAGAACCCCTGCTGTAGAAAACATTTTGCTTCCCATCTGGGGAAGTTTAATTCAAATCTAGAGTGTGGAGCTCCAAGTTTTAAACTGCATGAGATGCTGAGTTTGTGCAGCTCAGTTCACATGAAGATGATCTCACTCTCCTCCCACAACAGATTCAGAGTCCTTGTGTGCCTGGCTCACATAGGATGTGTTTTAGTCACATGTATGAAGGTGTGAACTGACTGGAAGGGTGGGTTTCATGCTTAAGAGCTGCTGTGTACTTTGTGAGACATGAGAAATCTCTCTCGTTTACAGTGTTGTGAGACGGTCTTTTTCACACAGAAATGTTTTACTCCAAAAGAAATTGYAGTGCAGTACTCCTGGTAAGCCCACCCACTGTACTCCCACTGCAGCAGACGTCACATACAAACAGAAACAACATGGCGAGAGCATGGCAGAGATGGWTGTTAAAAGGAAGAAGAAGATGATCTTTTATTTCTGTTGTTAATCAGGAAGTAGCGCTCATTTGCACATTTGTAACTAGGG